GATAGAGAACTGTTAGTTCTATCTTCATATTCAATAGCACGCTTATCCGATTAAAAACGCCTTAGAAATACGCAAAATACTAAGAAACTTTGTGCAAGTGGCCGGAATTACCCCATCTGACTCTAATAGAAGAATAATTGGGGAATAGAGGAATAGCGACCGACCGGAATACATTTTGAAACGTTCCCTTACGATTCAGGAGCTGTACGTATTTTCCCGAGAACCCCGATTTCAACCAGTTGACCTTAGGTGACCCTAAAATGGATCAAGATGGCGGAATCGGCCACGCTGAGTCGGATGGTGATGTTTATTTTTGGTTTCAAACCGACCTAAAGTCACTATATCAAGGTTTTCAAATTAAACCATTCTACCGCTATGTTGCGTATAGAGCGGATATCACGAAAATCTTGATATAATGGCTTTAGGTCGGTTTGAAACCAAAAATAAACATCACCATCCGACTCAGCGTGGCCGATTCCGCTATCTTGATCCATTTCAGGAGCCCCCAAGGTCAACTGGTTGAAATCGGGGTTCTCGGAAAAATACGTACAGCTCCTTAATCGTAAGAGATAGAGAGTTAAGACTGATGTAAAATTGTAGATCTCGGCTCGGGTTATCGGTTGCACTGTTTGAAAATCAAAACCCATCGTACAGTCCAGGAACGGCGGTCTCGAAGACTTTGCACCGAAAGGCTTATTCTCTATCCAACGGTGATAACCGCATGTCTCTAGCTCTTTCCCTTCAAAACTTATAAGCAATCTATACAGCCGCTTTTCTTTTTTAAAACAATAGTAGTCACGGTTTTGGGGCAGTGTTTTTAACTGCCAACATAACCTACATTCTATGTTTTATAAGCTACGAATATGCATCTGTAGTACTAACGTATAATGCTGTAATAGTGACTCGCCCAACAGTAAGTCTGTTTCCAGAACTTGCGCTCAACTTTGGCGACGTTTATAAGCAGAAAAGACTTGAAAACGTTTTACTTAAAAGTCGTTTTTAAGACTTCACATTGCGTCTGCTACATCACTCATGGCCACTGAACAACATCATTTGTCCACTAACCAGAGCTCGTCAGTTCTAATGTCGGTTTCGAGATCAGAGCTCCATGCCACGAACTGAATAAATGTAGTAGCTCTCCTTGGGATCTCAACTTCAATGCAAGGAATCCGATCCAGCTTGTATAACTGCAGTATGTCTTAAACGCTTCAACTCATGTTGAATAATTGAAGAAATGTAGACCACAATCACAAAAAATGCACAAAAAAATACGAAAACTTAGTCAAAAACAAAACCACGCTGCCTTCGAAGCATACTAGAGAACGACTTTTCCATCTTCTTGCACAGCCTCTCCCGATGTTTCACCTCTATCGGACATTTCGTTGCTGCGATTTTGCTGGATATTTGGCTTCATACACGATAAAGTTGAATCAGAGTATTGTTTACTTTCAGTGCTTCTGCTAGTGCTTCACCTCCTCTATCGGATATTTTGTTACCTTCAAGATCAAGTTGAGTGAGAGTGTTGTTTACTTTCAGTGCTTCTGCTAGGGCTTCGCTTCCTCTATCGAATATTTGGTTCCATCCAAGATGAAGTTGAGTGAGAGTGTTGTTTACTTTCAGTGCTTCTGCTAGTGCTTCACCTCCTCTATCGGATATTTTGTTGCCTCCAAGATCAAGTTTAGTAAGAGTGTTGTTTACTTTCAGTGCTTCTGCTAGGGCTTCACCTCCCATCTCGGATATTTGGTTCCATCCAAGTTGAAGTTGAGTGAGAGTCTTGTTTACTTTCAGTGCTTCTGCTAGTGCTTCACCTCCTCTATCGGATATTTGGTTCCATCCAAGTTGAAGTTGAGTGAGAGTGTTGTTTACTTTCAGTGCTTCTGCTAGTGCTTCACCTCCTCTATCGGATATTTGGTTCCATCCAAGTTGAAGTTGAGTGAGAGTCTTGTTTACTTTCAGTGCTTCTGCTAGTGCTTCACCTCCTCTATCGGATATTTTGTTGTTCCTAAGTTGAAGTTGAGTGAGAGTGTTGTTTACTTTCAAATCATTTGCAAGGATGTCAGTGACTTGTTCAAAAGTATTATCAACCGTCGGTAATTTTATAGCCAGTCTTAGTGACGATAGTTGTGTCATAGAGGAGAAGTGTGACACCATGACTTTGATCACTTGTTCTGTTTGGATGTGGAACAAGAATAAAGAGCGAAGATTTGCCAATGTGTTCTTGGGAAAGTGGGTGAATAACAAGTCAACATAGTTGCAGGTCTCTTTAAATAGATGCAGAGAACGAACTTGTGCTGTTGATGGAAAGTGTTCGCAGATAAAGTCACATCTGGATTTGCTGATGCGTTGAAAGTTCAGATCAAACTGTATGCTGCCAAGTAGTTGATCGAAGCGATCGTTTAGTCGAAGGAATGAGTGGAGAATATCATAAGCATGAAAATATTCAAAGATTTCAAGAATCTCTTCGTTCGCAAGCGATTGAAATTGTGTCACATCTAAACAAATGTGCGTTGTCGAGAGGTTGAATTCTTGATCTCTCTTATATGAAGAGAGTCTCTGAAGTATAAGGAAGTAAGAATGGCAAGGTGGATACTTACTCTCGAAGATGAGCAGCAGTGTCACACTGAGTGATAGTTCTTCCGAGTATTAGGCACGGTTCTATCCATCCATCCATATTGAATAGTGAGCCATTAGCATTTTACTATAGTCTTGACCATGGATATCATCTCTCTCTCTCCACTATTCTCAACACATTGCAATCATTAGCTTTGTGTGTGCCGCACTGAATGTCGTTGAACAACACATGATTAACTTACCATTCTGTGCTTGCTTCAAACATTCATCGTTGCCACAAGTACTGAGCAAGCGGTTTGATAAGTCATGCTGCATCTCTCTTCAGGCTATGACATCGACGTTTGTATTCATTCTGCTGTCAGTTGTAATCAGAGGATCGAATATATGCGATGTTTTTGCCAACATCAGAACGCAAAGAGAAATATTTAATCGTTTTTTTACATATGGATGCCGGTGGACGCGTAAGAGGAAAAATAACGGCATTCCAGAGGTTAAGTGTTGCATGACGACATCACTGCTTTGTGTTTTTCTTTGCGGTTGTCAAGACTCAAGAGAAACGAAAATCGTTATTTGAATTGTGACGTAACAGATAATGAGGCAACAGCTGTGACAGAGCATATCTTCTGTGCAGAGGGACATGCCTCATTTCTAACGTCTAGAAAACGAATGTGATTCCGCGAAGAAGGGAATGTGGCTTCTCCGGGATCAAGATAGTCTCTGGTAAAATTTAAGCGGAAAGCTCAAGAATGAACGGAAAAGGTGGCAAAAATTGGTTGACTGAATAGCCTTGTGCCTAAGTTATCTCACTCATATGTTGAGCAGTATATCTATCCTCATAAGAGATGTGCACGGGTAACATTTGTTAACTACTGCAACACCGGCCCTACGTGTGCACCTGAAGGAATTATTTCTATTCGATCTGAATTGAGAAGTGGCAAAGGAGGAAATAGATATGAAACCACATTCATCTTCGCCTACATATCTCATCCTAATATCTTGCAAATCTGATCATTGTACAGAAATTTTCAAACATCTAAATATGCAAGAGACCAAATTAAGAGATGTGCATGTGAACATAGATTTAGGAAGCAAGATCAAGTTTGGGAAAATGTAGGGAGAAGATTCGTTCATAAAATCTTTGTATCCAGAGGAATAGAATCATACCTCGAAAAGCAGACAAAAGAGAATACTAACTGGTTCAATATGTAGATGCCTGTCACCTGGTGTTTGTTAGTGAAAATTCAATTCTATAGAGTCTAATATATCGTTTTACATGCGGAAATAGCTAAATCCAGAGGTCTTAGTTGATGAAGCTTTGCTCTGGTCTATTTTTTTAGAAAGATCAACAAAGTGCTCAGCTCTCATCCTTAAAATCTATGTGAAAGTAGTTTCTTATCTTCTGTCATTGCTGCTATTTCGTCTTTTCACTTGATTTTCTGAAATTATTAACTTATTTTAAATATAGGCTCGTCTCTTGTTATATCTCGATAATATTTTAGGTCTTAAAATGACGACTCCTCTATCTACAACTGGAAATACATTAACAAATAAACAAGATTTTAATTATTTAAAAAATGGTCGATTGAATCTATGTATTTTACGTGATTATATTCTGCAGTAATTGAAACGTTGTATGGACCAGTTTCATACGGAAAAATCGAATATACCACGTCAATTCACTAAAGACAAATGTGTTATTGTAGATGACGATATTAAAACTTTGTTAGGTTAGTTTTTTTGTACCATAAAGATAGGCAGTTAAAAAGAAAATGGTTATTCAGTTGTTTTGACAGAATACCATCGCATTTATGTACGTTGAAATGAGCTGAGTAAGAATGATTCTTCTACGTTTTTGTTGTTAGTAATGGATAAGCTAATCTCATCAATTAACAGACATCTGTTATCCTGTGGATTGAATTTATGTTTTCCCTTCCTGAATATAGGTCGTACAGTGTCATGTCTGCAAAGTTCTATTGTTAAAATTAATCCTAATATACAAGAAGCACATGAAATAAGAACTTGGTGTGATAATAAAGGTTTTGAAATAGATGTTGAAGATCTCTCAACAAAAACAGATCGTGAACGAATGAGTAAGTAAAATGGAAAGAGAAAAAAGTTCAATGTCATTATTGTTATAGAAAAAAATATACATTCTAGCTCCGTTCAAAACAATCGGGCAAATAACCAGTGAACAACTTGGATCCAATGATAAACCGGATTACATCACGTGTAAAGCAATTTGTTTAATGATCAAAAAAGATAGTGTCGTTTATATGGTAATTTAAAACTGTGATTTCTTAGATACGAATCGAATGGATATCTTATCTGTTCTTGCTTTTTTAAGTCTTGTCCAGCTGAGAATTGTAGTAAAAAAGTAATTGATAATGGAGATGGTACATTTCGATGTGAAAAATGTAATGCTAGTCACGGAAATTTTAAGTGGTCATATATGGCAAATGTAAGTAGACCTAACAATCTTTCATTTTCAATTCTTGCTATTCTTCGTTTAATATAGGCTGAAATATCCGATAGTACGGGTTCACAATGGATAACACTCTTTCGTAATGAAGCTGAAGTGTTGTTTGGTATCACTCCTGAAGAATTTGGTCAAATGAAATCGAATGTAGGTTCAATTAATAAAAGAAAAACAGTCAGTATTAAAAATTAAACGTTTTTGTTTAGAATGATGAAGAAGCAATAAATGCCGTTGTAACAAAAGCACAAAATAATGAAAAAATGTTCAAATTACGTATCAAAATTGATAATTATAATGTAAGTATTTTTAGCTTATTCAGTTTGTAAAGCACCATGCATGCAAAAAATTTTCTAGTGAAATAGCTGAGGCGGCTTTTGAGTCTGACACTAGAGAAAGTGAAAACTCGGTGGCTCCTAAGTATATAGTATGTTTTAAACTCAACACTTTTTTCTAACATGGATACCGTCAAGTGTTATAAACTTTGAAAATACAGAAATTGCTCTTGTTTTTCCTAGGATGAACAACGTCTTCGCGTAACTTGTGTGAACATTAGCGATGTTGAGTATGTGAACAACGTCAAACAATTGCTGGTTGATATTAATCAATTAGCAGCATCGTAATCCTCAGACTAAGTGTGTATCAAAAGCGTATCTAGACTTGTTGAAGTTGTCAGATATATATAGTCAAGATTTTCTCGATGTGTTCGTTAATATTTTTTCTCTTATTTTTCTCTTATATGTATATTTTTTTGAAGAAATTCGTACGTATTGAACAAGCAGGCATTTATCTATTTTTTTCTCGTATGTGCGTGAAAAGCGCTATATTTTTTGTGATGGATTTATATGCTTTTGAAATAAAGATCTGCAAAAACAACTGAGCAAGTGTAAATTTAGTTATAAAACAACAACAAAAGTAAAAAAACTGAAGAGGAAAGTGAAACAAACAATAAAATAAAAAAGTTTAAAAAGCTCGCAAAAATCTAGCATTGTCGATTTCGTTCTTTCACGGTAGAGTACATGCAGTCGTGATCGGGTTCCGATGTTACCTCCGTTCCACATGGGTCGATTTCAGCAGCACCCATCATATACCATGCTATTGGCGTTTAGCTTTTTCATCAATCTCAACTTTCAATTCTATTTTTCTTGCATCAGTTTTTTGCACATGCTTTGACATGCGCTGTGATATTCTGAGGTTTAAATGGCTTGTCGTACTTTGAATAACTGTAGACTCCATTAGTACTTTTACTTAATTACTCAGTGATTTTATTTTGATTTGTACATTGAGGAGGCATTGCTTTTGCCGCTGCTAATATTGTTATTTGTATCTTTCGATCACAACCTCAGTTATACATCTTAACTCTTTGTTCTTCGTTTTTTCTTGACTAGATGCATTGGAATGGATGATTATATAATCATCGAGCCCCGACACTTCTGTATCACACATTTTTGTTTCACACAGTGCCTCAATTTAGATTTTATATTATTTTAGCTGTTGAATAATTAAACGCAATTTTGGTTGATCAGAACATGAACGAACGTTTCAAGCACCAAAGAACTTTCTTTTGCGTGCCATACACGGGTTCTTTCGATCCTTTTCATTTGCCATCAAAGTTTGAAGTCTTGTTGACAGGTGGCTGGTCTGAAAACAAGACAGATCGGCTACCAGCAGCCCATTGATAGCTCTCATTATTGCCAGCAATATGAGTCCCTATGGATATTATAGAAGAAACATTCCCGGCAGGCAATAACATAAAGAGATACATAAAAAGTAAGATATAAAATAATTTACAACAAAGTCGAAACAAGAAACAAAACCACATTCTCTATTCACAACTTGTTCATTCGTAGATATTCAAATTACACACATATCTTGACATGAAGCACAGAAAAAACATAAGCAATTAAGAAAAGTAGTATTGAAAAAGTCGGTTATCAAGTAGAATTAGTTGTTGACGAATATTGCAAGGCATGTTAACGTTGTTTTAGATGAGCAGAAAAAGAAATAAAAAGTAAATAATCAACTGCATATATTTCAACGGAAACTTGATGAATTTTGAAAAAGAAAAGTAGAACAATAACTTATAGGACCGATTTCATAATGTTTAAAGTTTTATTCTAGATACTTTAGGGGTATCTATAATATTTTTTCAGTATGTTTAATTGTGGATACAAACAATATTGTAAGTAGTAAGAGAAAATAATTGTAAGAGTATACACGTATGGCATCGCTATATAAATTATTAACTGTTTGGCCTTATGAAAGTAAAGCTTTTCCAATCGTGTATACAGCATAACCAGGAGGATAGATATTGAACGATTGTACCATGGCACTTATAGATAAATCACCACAACATGTCACCATATAACCTAGTAAAACAAAATGATTCAAATAATAAATTAATACAATTGAAAAAAACGAATAGAAGAAGGTTTTAGCTTCTACTACCATTTAAGAATTCAGCAGACAAAGTTTCCGAGAAGATCGACAGGGATACAAATGAGAATGGCATATCTTTTTTATTCTCCATCAAGACATCCTGTATTTTTCAAGTATGTGTAACAGACTTATTTTGATACACCATTCCTCGGTTATTCACTAGGATAAAACAATATATATTATCGAAATTAGGTACCTTGATGGCAAAGGATTGAGACACTTACTTCCTTGTGATTGTGATGCACCTTGTACATGTAGTACAGTTATCTGATCACCAGTAAGTGCTCGACACGATTGTGGAGCACCATAAAATGGTTGTATTGTGTATTCATCGTGCCATTATTCCAGTTTTGTCCTTGATTGTATGCATAGTTAATCTTTCTATAATAAGCACTATTATAGGGTGGATATTGTGAATTGGGTTGCTCGTAGCCTCCAAGTGTATAGGCTAAAAATAAGAAATGATTTATGTCTTATAAATGCCATTTAGATCAAATACTAAATGGTAACAACCTGGATTGTACAGCTGATTATTTCCTGCATAAGAGGAGGGTGCAGCTGGGTAACCACCATGGACTTGTTGATCAGGTTGAAAATAAGCAGGACCAAGATCAGGACGTCCACCTATAGGTCGTCGATAACTTGCATTTCTTATTTGGGAAATGAAACCTGCGTGTGAGCCTACTTGAAGTCTCTCAGACCACCTTTTACCGCCCTGCAATGCTTGAAACCAAGCATGATCCTGTCGTCGTTTACGTTTTTTCATGTAAACAACATGACGCCGTAGTCTTAGAGAGATTGGTGATGCTTGCGACAGACGTTGTAAATGTTGTATTTCTTCTTTTGACGGTTGTTGTTGCATCATCCATGGAGGTCTGTATTGTTGTCGTTGTCCGCTATAAAATCCTTCCGATTTTCTTGCAATATTGTTTCCCAAAGGATCGAGTAAAGTATTAGCACATATATGTCGTTGGACAAACTTAAACACAATGATGATATAACTTCACAATGCTTTCGCGTCTTATATCATACTTGTCGCAATTTATTTGTATTTGCTGTGACACCAATTTGTGTTAAAGCTCCATTAGTTGGCATGAACAATGTATAAGATCTTCCAGAGTTTTTCAATTCATTGATAATATTTGTTTGTTGTAAAAATTGATTAAATAAACTACAAAGGAGTAATATCTGTTAGACAGATAGATCGATTATGCTTAAGAGCTCTTCTCACTTTTCAAGTATCTAAAGAATAGTTTATTGCGGAGCCAAAATTTTCTCAACATTAATAGATCCTGATGAGCTATGAACAGTTGTGCTTGAATTGTCTCTCCAGAATGTTTTCTTTTGTTTTTACAGAGGTCACAGTAGATAAAAACGGCTATCCCACTCTCTACAGTTTCGACCAGAAGGAGTTGATCGATATCAAAGGGAAATTTTTACCAAAAATAAAATTCATCTACAACTAGGCACGGGTTTTTTTGCTTTTCAAAATTTAATCTTAGTTTGGTCAAAATATCAAAAACACGAAATAGCATACAAAAATAGCACATTTTTTAATATACTTCATTTATGTTATCATTTTTTATCTGAGAAGGAAATAACATTTCTGAGAAGCAAAACGACTTGTCCCGGTGTAAGATAAATTGTTGCTATGGTAAACTTTTTTGTCTTCTTGGTGAGCTTCTTCTGCTTAGGTGAGTCTTGCAAAAAAGTAGTTCTTAGAAAAACGCAAAACAAAATTAGACTTTTTATAACTGCTTTACATATTTTTTCCATGTCTAATGATATGTATCCTAGGCTATCGACTGTGTTGAGTCTTAGGATCATGTGCGGTTAATGCGTTTTTTCTTCTTTTCAATAGCAATATAAGTTTAAAGTCCTACCGAGAGGTTGCTAGCCTCAAGGTAAGACGGTTGTCTACCGGCAGCCCAGGGTCGCCTCCTCACTATCCAGAAACAGTGAGCCCCTGTGCGAATTCGAAAATCCACCCAGCAGGCTGATGTTTTATTCTCACCCTACACCAGAAATGGTAGCGGGTCTAACTAACTAACTAACTAACTGATGCGTTTACATATGATGTTTTTTTACCTAGATCAACAGCTATACGTTAGCATATACACTCTAAAAAAAGTCTGTATTTTAAAAAACTCTAACGGTTACATATTTTCCCTCCTGAATGGAAAATAGTTTATTGACAGTTTTCCTGAGTGCTTAATGGTTTATCAGCTATAGGGTTTCTTAATATACCCTGCCGAATTATAAAAGAGCGTTTTTATAAACCCAAAAAGGTATCGGAGTTGGATTAATAAACTGTCAGGGTGTCATACTTTGGATGAAAAATCCGTTGGTTTTCTGGTAAACCCTTTTGATTTTTTAATGAACCCAAAAGGGCTTTTCTCGCTTAAAAAACCCTACGGCAATTCTCTTAAATAAAGGGGTTTATTGAAATACGGAAAAACGTATTTTAAGAAATGATGAGGGGACAAAAAATTGAATTATTCAAGCTATGAGTTGCAGTGAAGTTCAATCAGCGGTTTTTTCAACTGTTCAGAATGAGAACACGTGTTGTTTTCTCATTGATCGAATGAATAATATCAGCCAGTTTTCTAGTCAGTTGTGTTTGTTAACTTTTATCTTATTACCTGACAACAGCACCTCACTGTTATTCTTCCGTTTCTGTAAAAAACTTCTATTCTAAACTTCATCGTTTGCTCTCATTCTAAAGAAGAAGTTACTTTCCTGAAGATTAAATGGCACGACACTCGGTGTAGAAATTCAAGAGAGTATAATAGTGCACTATAAAGACATAAAAAACCCTTTCCAAAACGTTTAAAGCGTTCAGGAAACCGAAACCACATCGAACGAGTAAAAGGTTTCGTAGACGTGATAAACCCTTTCCAGTACGCTTAAAGCGTTCGGGAAACTGAAACCACACCGAACGAATAAAAGGTTCTGTAGAAGTGACAAACCCCTTTCGGAACACTTTAAGGGTATTGTCGTAAACCTTTATTCGTTCGGTGTGGTTTCAGTTTCCCGAACGCATTAAGCGTTTTACAAAATACGGATTTTTTTTACAGTGTACGACAGTTCCTATATATATTTTTGAGATTCCGTACATATTTCTGCACATGATCATTAGACTCAGGATGGGCGATAACCTATAGTTAGATTAGTTTATACCATCGACATGTGGATAATTCATTACAAAAATAAAGAAAAACCGAAAAATTTGATTTAACATTCTGTAAAAAGCCTCCTAAGACTTTCGTTTTATATCACAAAGAGGAAGCTGTATCCATCGAAAAGCGCATACTTAAAAGAATAAGAAACTCCAAATCGAAGTTTTTTGCTTATTGTGACGAAATAGTTCAAAACATGGGCTGGAAACGAGTCGGGACCAACAATCAGAGTGATATTCAAAGTGAAATGCTTTCGAAAACTCCTTTAAAAAATGAAAACGTTGAAAATTGCCCGTTGTGTCTTTGCACAATTATGTCATATTTAAAACATGGGAGGAAATGTATTTGTTAAGTGAAACTTACGGTTATGTGCAGAATTGCACGGCGGATCTTTCGGGAAAAAGTTCAACCCTAAGCAGTGAGAATCGGCTGAGATATCCTTAAAATACGGAGACTGCCTTTCTTCATGCGCCGCCTATTGAAACAACAAGGAAGCGTTCTCTAACAAAAAATGAAATCGTTGTATTTTTTTAAAATCAAAGTTGTATTCTTACTGGTGAGGAGAAAGCAAGCTACGAAGTGAAATTGTGTTTGTCTTGGAACATATCCAATAACGCCAACAAATTGGTTTCATATCTAAACCAACATGCTCCACAAGACCGAATAGATTTCACGCGAAGCAAAGACTTTCTTTGATCACCCCTCATTGGCGATAGGTAGTGGCTCTCGTGCAATGACTCTTAGGTAGATTTCAATAAGCGCAGCGATTCTAATTTAAAGATGGGGTCGTGGTGGTGGTGTGGGGGCAGGCGGTGTGGTGGTGGGGTGGGGTGGGCTGGTGAGTATAAGATGGGAGATGAACAATTCCGAGCTACTTACGACGATCATTTCGACCTTGCTTAAGGGTCATGATCAGGTAAATGCGAAATTGCATGACTGCGTCTGATTCATCCCAATCAACAGAAGCCTATGAAAGTTTAATAACTTCCAACAGTCAACTTATGACTCAAAAATAGAATCTATCGCGGACAAGTCTTATATGGTGAGTATAAGATGGGAGATGATGAATTCCGCATTTACCTGATGATCACACTTAAGCAAGGTTGAAATGATCGCCGTAAGTAGCTCGGAATTGATCATCTCCCATCGTATACTCACCCTCACCCTCACACGTGTTGTGGACGCACATTCTGTCATCCTCTCCGACACTGAAGTCTGTCCAATGACCCTATCGGCAGATGTTTCCAATAGGACTTGTTCTTCTCTCAATGTAAGTATTGTTAGGATTCTGTATCTGAATTTAAGTGATGATCGCTGGAACTCTTCTGCTATCACACATGTTTCACGTGTGAGGTTTTACTGTACATCTTTTAGAATAAGTTCAATGGTGTCACGTCGATCAGTTGTGCTTATTCGATCGCCACGTCCTTTCATGCCATCAAAAACTGCGTTTCGAACATTAAATATTTGACGCATAGATCAGAGATGCACGGGGTACGGGGAACCCGCCCCGCGGCGCGGGGTTCAGCTTTTAGAGATCCACGGGGGCCGGCGGGGCACGGGGCTGAACAGTTACGGGCCGGGGCGGGCGGGCCAGAAATTTTTTTAAAGTTTTTCTGATATATGCGAAATACGACGAAAGGTTGTCAATAATCACTATTCCGAAGGAACTACAAGACATATGCGATTGGTCTGATTTTGATTCACACAACGAAGAATAGGCAAGGAACAACAGATTCACTTCTAGTGTCTCTTTCTATCTACACTACTCTTTTTGTAAATAAGTAAAGAGTGAGAGAGTGTGTTTGTTGGTTCAATCTTTTATCTTGATCGATGTGCTCTCTTGTTCATCCGTTCTTCATATTATACAATTGCTATGTAATTGTATCGTCTCGAAGGCGAGACAATAGTAGTTCAGAAAATATTTGAACCCCATCAGAGGAACCGGTACCTTAGTTGATATGCATGGTGCAAGTATTGTGAACATTATTGTATGTGTTAAGTAGAGAAGAGCATCTGCGGTGCTTGACTGTGGTCTAAAACCGAATTGAACTTTAGAGAAAATTTGTGTTTGAAAAGATAAGTAAACAACTGGTCGTAAATAAAACGTTCAAGAATTTTACTCAGAACAGAAAGAAGTGAAACTGGTCTGTACTTTTCAACTTGCGCTTTCGGTTCCTTTTTATGTACAGGAACAACGTCAGCGTATTTCCAGTTTTGTGGATGAACACCTTTTTCAGTAGATAAACAGAATAAATGATGAATAAAATCTAAAAGTTCTAACACACACTCTTTCAAAAAACAAACTGGTATCTGAAACTGGCCCTTGAAATTCTCTACAAAGTGAGCTGGTCACAATGTCCAGACAGATGTGGCCAGTCATTAAAGATACGGAAAAGAAGCTTTTGGGTGTTATCTAAGCAGTACAGTGTGTTATAATCACAAGAACTCCCTTATTTTTGACTTTTTAGTAAACGCTGGAACCAATCTGAATAATGTTTTGAATAGCCCGAAGATTTTTCTATCAGATGAGGTGCATATCGCCCTTTCATGAGAAAGTTGATAATAGAGCTTCTGGAAAACCTGACCGCTGGAAAACCAAGTCCTTAGTATTTGGTCAGAAAATTTTGCAAACCATATAGTCTGATAGAACGAAGAAATCTGAGCAAAATAAGATATCTCCCGGCATTCTATAGTGCTTTTTCACCGCAATAGTTTGGTAACTTTCACGCCCTTTGTAGCTAGTGGTAAATCGACTGCAGTTACGTGAAAAAGCACTAAAGAATGCAGTGGTTAACGAGAAAATAAGTCATTATTATAAACATGAACCACGTCGACCCATCGGTTTACTGAGATGCTACCGAGTATTTCGGATCTTAGACTACCCAGTTACAT